GATTTCGATTGGCTTGGATCAAAGTGTAGTCATGCTACACACCAAGGTATTGGTCCAGAGTGGGTAGATTGGTAAGTACTGCGTACCTTGTCCTAAGGTTCGTAGGTTCGAGTCTCCTTCTGCCAGGAGATCAGTGTTTGGGTATATTTGCATTGCTCTCGCGAATTCATTGCAATGTTCAAATCTTAGTTAGGCTGATGCATGCACGGGGATGAGATGAAAGCTGTAAGCTCTGTAACCCTGGAAAGCTGGCTTGCCTTGGATCAATAGGTGTAGCTCATGCCTACACTCCAAGGTTATTGGTTCCAAGTGTGGGTAGATTGGAATGGCACTGCGTACCTTGTCCTAAGGTTCGTAGGTTGTAGTCTCTTCAAGCCTGAGATCAGTGTTTATTATATATATAATGTATTATATATATTATATATATATATATATATATTACATATATATTAAAATATAATACGCTCACCAAAAGTGCTTCAGGCCAATATTCGACCCTACGACACCTTGTCTCCCAACTGACCAAACTTGAGCCATCGTATACGAAATAGGTATATCTTGCGATTTTGACTTAATAGCAACAGTTCTTCTTGCCGAATAAGGCAAACGAATATGCGTTGTAGCATAATTTCGCAGAGTCATTCTGAACCAAAAGAAAACATTATCTTTCATTGTATGTTTATTTATTTATTGTCTAACTTCTAAATATGTTTAGCTCTGTATGAGGATAAATTCAATGCTTTTGTTTTAATAAGGCTAAAGGTTGTTTTTAAGGTTGCTTTTGGTACAAAGTTATAAATTTTGGTTTTTTTAAAATGAAAAAAAATACTTTAATCGTGGTAGACAAAATTATTGAAAGAATTTTAAAATGCTCTTGTGATTGACCAGCTTACCTATTTCGTACACGACATAATACATTCAAACAATCACATAAGGCAGACCCAAACTGTAGGGGGATTAACAAATAACTGCAATAGGGAAAAGAGGATGCTACAGACGAAATTTTCGAGTCCGATTTGGACCAATACAAAATCAGAAACAATTATTTTCCTGACGCAGGTCTTTGATGACCCGCTGTTCGAGCTTTTGGTCATCTGACCGAGGCCTTCAGCTGGCTTACAGGTCGACCCCTTTAAAAATTATGGATAGACAGGAGAGGAGCCAGCATGTATAGAGGTGGGAGAGGAGGAGCCAGCATATATAGAGGTGGGAGAGGAGGAGCCAGCATATATAGAGGTTGCAGAGCAGGAGCCAGCATATATAGAGGTGGGGAAGGAGGAGCCAGCTTATATAGAGGTGGGAGAGGAGGATCCAGCATATATAGAGACGAGAGAGGAGGAGCCAGCATATATAGAGGTGGGAGAGGAGGAACCAGCATATATAGAGGTGAGAGAGGAAGAGCCAGCATATATAGAGGTGGGAGAGGAGGAGCCAGCATTTACAGAGGTGAGAGAGGAGGAGCCAGCATATATAGAGGTGGGAGAGGAGGAGCCAGCATATAGAGAGGTGAGACAGGAGGAGCCAGCATATATAGGGGTGGGGGAGGGGAAGGAGGAGGAGCCAGCGTTATATAGAGGTTGGAGAGGAGGAAGCCAGCAGATATGAGTTTAGAGGAGGAAGAATCAGCATATAATAGAGGTGGTGAGAGGAGTGAGTAGCAGCCTATATAAAGGGTGAGCGAGGAGGAGCCAGCATATATAGAGCAGGGAGCATGAGGAGCCCAGCATAAAGGAGGTGAGGAGGAGGGAGCCAGCATATGTAGGGGTGGGAGAGGAGGAGGAGGAGGTCAGCATAACTGGGTGGGGAGAGGAGTGGCAGGCCATTCTCTGTTACCTATCATACATAGAGGTGGGGGAGGAGGGCCAGATATATAGAGGTGGATGACGGAATAGCGCAAAATCTAGAGGTGGCGAGGGGAGGTGCCAGCAATAAATAGAGGTGAGAGAGTGAGAGCCAGCATATTAGAGTTTCGGAGAGAAGATGGAGGAGGAGCCAGCTTATATAGAGGTGGGGCGAGGAGTAGCTGCAATATATAGAGGTGAGAGAGGAGAGGAGGAGAAATAACGCATAACATAGTGGTAGGAGAGGATGGGATTGAGAGCATATATAGAGGTCGGTAGGGGCAAACAGCATTATAGAAGGTGGGAGAGGAAGGAGCCAGCATATATATATTAGGGCGTGAGGGAGGAGGAGGAGGAGCAGCATATGTAGAGTTGGAGGGAGGAGCCAGCACATATATAGTTGAGAGAGAAGAGCCAGCATATATAGAGAGTGAGAGAGGTGGAGATCGCATTTGTAGAGGTGAGAGAGGAGGAGCAGCATATATAGAGGTGGGAAAGTGGATGGCGTTCAGCATTTGGTAGAGGTGAGAGAGGAGGAGCCAGCAAATATAGGGTGGGAGGGACGGAGGAGGAGGAGCCAGCATATAAGAGGTGGGCGAGGAGGAGGTGGAAGCCGCATATACCGAGGGGGGAGTGAAAGAAACCCAGCATTTGTTAGAGATGACAAGGAAGAGCCCAGCATTTATAGATGGGAGAGGAGGAGCCAGGAATGTAGGAGGGTGAGAGAGGAGAAGCCAGCATGTAGAGAGTGAGAGAGGAGAGACAGCATATATAGGGTGGGAGAGGAGGAGCTCGCATATTGAGGTGGGAGAGGTGGAGCCAGCATAGAGGTGGGAGAGGAGGAGCCAGCATATTAGAGATGCAGAGAGGAGAGCCAGCATAAATAGGGGGGGGAGAGGAGGAAGCCATCATCTATAGACAGGTGGGAGCGGAGGGAGCCAGCATTATAGTGGTAGGGAGAGGAGGGAGCCAGCATAATATAGGGGTGGGAGAGGAGGAGCTAGCAAATATATGAGGTGGGAGAGGAGGAGACAGCATATATAGAGGGTGGGAGAGGAGAGCCTGCAAATATTGGGTGGGAGAGGAGGAGCCAGCCTAGAGGTGGGAGAGGAGGAGCCAGCATATATAGAGGTGGGGAGGAGGAGGAGCCAGAATATTTAGTGGTTGGGAGAGGCGAGCCAGCATTTATAGGGGGGGGAGGTGGAGCCAGCCATATATAGAGGTGGGAGAGGAGGAGACAGCATATATGGGGTGGTCGAGAGGAGGGAGCCAGATTATATAGAGGTGGGAGAGGACGGTGCCAGCATAGAGGTGGAGAGAGGAGGAGCCAGCATTATAGAGGTAGATAGGAAGAGCCAGCCTTATACAGAGGTGGGAGGGAAGGAGCCAGCATATATAGAGGTGGGAGAGTAGAGGCAGCATATACCAGGGTGAGCGAGGAAAAGCCAGCATATATAGAGGGCGGAGAGGGGGGTCCAGCTATATAGAGGGCTCGGAGAGGAGGAGCAGCTATATAGAGGTGGGAGAGGAGGAGCCAGCATTACTAGAGAGCATGAGAGAGAAGGAGCCAGGCATTTATAGAGGTGAGAGGGAGGAGCTAGCCTATATAGAGGTGGGAGAGGAGGAGACAGCATATATACAGGTGGGGAAAGAAGGAGCCAGATATTATAGAGGATGGGTGAAGATGAGCCAGCAAATATAGAGTGGGAGAGTAGGAGCAAGCATTATATTAGAGGAGGGTGTGAGGAGCCAGGCATTTGTAGAAGTGGGAGAGGGGATCTGCATATATAAAGGTGGAAGAGGAGCGAGCCAGCATATATAAAGGTGGAAGAGGGGAGCCAGATAAATAAAGGTGGGAGTAGGAGGAGCCAGCATATATAGAGGCGAGGAGGAGCAGACGCATATGTAGAAGGTCGGGTGTAGAGGAGGAGCAGCATATATAGGGGTTGGAGAGGTGGAGGAGGAGCCTGGCTTTTATAGAGGCGTGAGAGGGAGGAGCTGCATATTTAGAGGTGGCAGAGGAGGAGCCAGGCATATTATAGAGGTAGGAGAGGAAGGAGCCAGCATTATATAGGAGGTGGAGGAGAGGAGGAGCCAGCATATGTAGAGGTTGGGAGAGAGAGCAGGACAATATAGAGGTGCGAGAGGAGGAGCCAGCATATTAGAGGTGGGATGAGAAGGAGCCAGACATATAGAGGTGGGAGAGGAAGGAGCCAGCATATATAGAGGTGCCGAGAGAAGGAGCCGCACATATAGAGGTGGGAAGAGGAGGGCAGCATATATAGGGTGGGAGGAGAAGGAGCCAGCACTATAGAGCGTGGGAGAGGAGGAGCCAAGATATATAGAGGTGGGGGAGGAGGAGGAAGCAAGCATATACAGAGGTGGGGAGAGAAGGAGCCAGGCATATATAGAGGTGGGAGAGGAGGAGCAGCATACATAGAGGTGGGACGAGAAGGAGCCAGCATATGTAGAGGTGGGGAGGAGGAGGAGCTCAGCATATATAGGGTGGAAGGGAAGAAGCCAGCATATATGAGGTGGGAGAGAAGGAGCAGCTTATAGAGGTTGGAGAGGAGGAGCCAGCATATATAGAGGTGGGAGAGGAGGAGCCAGCATATATAGAGGTGGGGGAGGAGTAGCCAGCATATGTAGAGGTGGGAGAGGAGGAGCCAGCATACATAGAGGTGGGAGAGAAGGAGCCAGCATATGTAGCGGTGGATCGAGGAGGAGACCAGATACATAGAGGGGGAGAGAAGGAGCCAAGTATAATTAGAAGGTGGGGGAAATACTACTACATCAACTACTCCGCCTCTCTTGTCGCGTCTCTGCCAGCTCACCATATTTTACTGGCTCGTCTTTTGTTTGTCTTTTGTGTTAGTGTGCCTTTGTAAATGGTCCTAGTCAGACCGAAACGTTGTCGTGAGCTTCTCTATCCTATGTCTGGGTTATTTGTGTATTGTTCCAGTCGTGGTATTGTGCCTTTTCGTTCCATAATATGGTGGATGACGGCAACTGCTCATTGAGGTAATTGGTACGTGGCTGACTCTCTCTTCTTCCTTAGTTCTCTCTCAGCTTTTCTTGAGTTTGGACGTGGAGCTTTCCTAATGCTGAGTGTGGAGCTTTCCTAATGCTGAGTGTGGAGCATTACCTAATGCTGAGTGTGGAGCATTCCTAATGCTGATTGTGGAGCTTTCCTAATGCTGAGTGTGAAGTTTTTATTCAGTACTGTTTTTATGTACGTACACGTGACGAATGGAGTGTTTATGTAAATGATACAAAAGCACGAAGAGGATATGTAATGGTTTGTATTTATTACTGTACTTTTGATATTAATATTAATAATAATTTAATTATTATTAAATAATTGCGACGGTGATCACGCGCCTGTAAGTCCTTTTAGACTTGAAAGCTTGCAGTGAACGCGATGCGTCCGAGTGTGTGTGTACTCACCTAGTTGAGGTTGCAGGGGTCGAGTCCTAGCTCCTGGCAACGCCTCTTCACTGGTCGCTACGAGGTCACTCTCCCTCAACCGTAAGCTTTATCATACCTCTGTTAAAGCTATGTATGGATCTCTCCTTCACTACTTCGCTCTCAAAATATTCACTTCATGACTATACTCTGTGGCTGGAAGAGACATATTCCTAGCATCCCTGTGATTCATCTGTGTCTTAATTCCAACTGTGTCCCCTTGTTACTGTGTTCCAATCTTGGAAACATTCTGTCTTTGTCCACTTTGTCCAATTCCTTTCAAGTTTTTGTATGTCGTCAATCATGTCTCCCGTGTAGTCAGGTTGATTTCCTTAACCTTCCTCCGTAGGGACATACCTTTAGCTTGGGACTGTCTTGTTGAACCTTTGCACTTTTTCTTAGTTCGTTACATGCTTGGCTAGGTCGTAGGGTCAAATTGGTTCCGCCATACTCCAATATAGGGCTATGTACACGGTGTACAGGGTCCTGAACGATTCCTTATTTAAGATGTCTCGGAATGTGTTTCTGAGGTTTGCTAGGCGCCCAGTATGTGCAGCGTTACTTTGGTTGATGTGCGGTTCAGGAGATGTGCCTGTGTTTATATCGCCCCAAGATCTTTTTCTTGAGTGAGGTTTGTAGTCTCTCGGCCCTCGACTGTGCCCCGTCTGCGGTCTCTTGGCCTTCCCCATTCTGCATGACTTTGCACTTGGGGGGGATTGAACTCCAGGGCCAATTGCTGGACAAGGTCTGCAGCCTGTCAGATCCTTTGTAGTTCTTGGCCTGGTCTTTCGATCGGTGAATTCTTCTCATCAACTTCACGTCATCTGCAAAAACAGGGACACCTCGAGTCAAATACTTCCGTCATGCCGTTCACAAATACAGAAAACAGCATGGTCCAAGGACTGACCCTGTGGGACCCCGCTGGTCAAGGTTGCCCACTATGAACCTCGCCACGTACATATTCGTTGCTTGTGTGTGTTGTGTGTGTACTCACCTAGTAGTACTCACCTAATTGTGGTTGCGAGGTCGAGACTCAGCTCCTTGGCCCCCACAGCCTCTTCACTGAATCGCTACTAGGTCCTCTCCCTCTCTGCTTCCTGAGCTTTTATACTCTTCTTAAAACTAGTATGGTTCTGCTCCACTACTTTCATTGCTGGCTATTTCACTTCCTGACGACTCTGTGACTGAAGAAAACATTACTTACGAACGTCTGGGACTCGTCTGAGTCTTCAGCTTCCAGTTCTGACCCCCTTGTTTCTGTGTCCCCTGTCTGGACATCTATTCTCTGCCCACTTTTGTCTATTCCCGCAGTATTGTATGTCGTTATCATGTCTCCATGACCCTTGTCTCCAGTGCGTCAGTCGATTTCTCCTCAACTTTGTTGTTACGACATTTCCCTGAGCTCTGGCGAATCGCCTTGTTGATAACCTTTGTACTTTCTTAACTTCTTGACGTGCTTGACAGGTGTGGGTTCTCAGACTGGTGCTGCTTTACTCAGTATGGGCCTAACATCACAGTGTCCAGTGTCTTGAACGATTCCTTATTAAGGTAGTCGGAACGCTGTTCTCAGGTTTGCCAGGCCGCCGTATGTGCAGCAGTTAATTTGGTTGATGTGTGCGGTCCGGTGACGTCTCGGTGTGATGGTCACCCCAGGTCTTTCTTCTGAGTGGAGGTCTGTGGTCTTTGTCCCCTATCCTATATCTGTTGCTTGTTTCTATGCACTCCCAATCTTGATTGACTTTGCATTTGGCAGGTTTTGAATTTGAGAAGCCAGTTTTGGACCCAATGTCACAGCGTGGTTCAGGTCTTTCTGACAGTCCTGCCTCTCCTCATCCGTTCTGCTAATAGGGATCCCACTTCAGACGTCTATTCCCATTCCATCATGTCCTTTGCATATATAAAAGAGCACTGGTCTTGAAACTGACACAATGTGGCGCACCCAGTTGTCAAGGGAATCCACTGTGATACCTCTTCGCGTACCATGACTCGTTGTTGCCTCCCTGTCAGGATTCTGATCCAGTGCAGTGCCCTCCTGTTAATATGCACATGATCCTCCAGCTTTCTGCACTAATCTCTTGGAGGGGAACTGTGTCAAAGGCCTTCCTGCAGTCTAGGAAAACGCAATCAACCCACCTCTCTCTCGTGTCTTACTTTGTTACTTTGTCATTAAAACTCCAGGAGGTTTATGACAAACGGATTTGCCTTCATGAAAACCAATGCTGAGTTTTCATTTATAATCTTGTTCTGTTCAGAGTGTTCTCCACCACCTCTCCCCCTGATTAATCTTATCCATTGACTTTGCACAATAAAAAAAATTACATGACAGTACACACAGGTACTGTGTTTATTGCCTCATTTCTGTTATCCTTTCTTAATATGGGGACTTCATTGCTGTCTTCCATTTTTTCAGGTAGTTGCCCATTTCAATGGATGTGTTGTAGTTTGTGGTTAGGGGCATGCATGCATCTCTGCTACTTCTCTAAGGACCATTGGGAGGAAGTCTGGGTCTCTTCGACTTTGAGGTATCAAAGGCACTTCAGACAGCTTCTGCACCTCTCCTCGGTTGATATATGTCAACATTACTTGTTGGTATATTCATCTTGATGTTCCATTCTGTGCTGTTTCCCAAAGCCCTTCCTGTATTCTGTAAAACTTCCTTAAATTCTGTTTAGCTCTCACATACCTCTTGTGAGAGTTCTCCACCTTCTGCTCTTTAATCTGATCACCTGGTCTTTGACTGTTGTCTCCTAATGAGGTTGCCTATACAACAGTTTGGGTCAGCTTTGATTATTCGATGTTATGTCATTTTCACACTGTTGGTGGCCTCCTCTTAACTGTGCATATCGTTCCTGGCTCTGCAACTGATGTCCTATTTTCATGTGGTCTCTGCCTTCTGCACTTTTTCCATTCTCTATTGCACTTTGTGTCTTGCCCTCCTTTCACCGTCGGGTAAAACCAGTGGCTCTTTTGGTCTTCCAATTGTTTCTGTTGCCTTGGAATAAAACTTTCATTGGCCTCCTTTATTTTGTTACATATTCCTTCATTTCGTTACTGGCTTTCTGCAAGTTCTCTGTCCACGGAAACCTCTTGCAGGAAGTTCTCAACGCTTAATATAGTCCCTTCTTTTATAGTCAGGCGCTATTTTCCCATTAAATCCTTTTATCTCTCCACTTTCAACTCTTCTATGTATTCAAGCACCAGAACACTTGGTTGCTAGCTCGTTAGGGACTTATATGTTATGTCCTCAATGTCTGAATATGCCAGGGAGAACACAAGCCAATCTTGCTGGTTTTTTTTCATCCTCCATTCTCACTCTGGTGTGTCGCTTAACATGTTGATGGATGAGGTTTTTCAGCACCATTAATCAAACATCTTGGCTCTCCATGTGTCGGGCCCATGTTTGCTCCAGGTTTTCCCAGTCAATCTCCCTGTGGCTGTAATCCCAATAAACCCAGCAACTTTGCTCTGGGAGTGAGCTCTTCTTGTCACATCAGTGTGTCCACATTGCTTGTTGCTCTTTTATATTACCTTCTTGGCCTTCTGCAGTTCCTGTGGTGGATTATACATCACTGCAATGACCACCTTGTGCTCCCAGATGAGTGTACCTACTATGTAGTTCCTTTTCCCGTCTCGTTATGCCTCCATTTTTCTCGACTGCTTCCATCTGTTTTTACGAGCGCAGCAACCCTCCTCCCCCCTGCCCCTTTATCTTTCCTCATGATCTGGTTGTACCTGGTGGAAGAAGATTGCATCTGTTAGTGTCTCCGTGAGTTTTGTTCTGTAATGCTATGATGTCTGGGGAATTCTCATTGATTCTTTCTTGACCATTCCTCATGTTTATTTCGTTAATCCATCTGCTTTTGTCTGTTACCAATCTTCAAACTTCTGTTATAATATGTTACGTGGTGCTGCCGGGGGTTGGGAAACAGAGGGAGCGGTGGTGTGATGGTTGGTTTGGATAGTCAGTTTGCCTTTGGGGTGTCGTGGCTTGGAGTCCCTTCTGCAGGTGTTTCTGGGGAGTGTGCTTGTCCTTCCACTTGTTCCTGGGTTATTTGCTCTACTTTTCATTTCCTTCATTCCTCCTTTCGTTTTTGCTTCTCTTTGAGTATCGTCCTTTCTTCCTGTTGTTTCTGTCTTGATCTAGGTCAACACATCATGAACTCCTGTTTGCTCTCGCGTTGGCTTTCTCCTGCAGGATCTTGGTTTGGGTGGTTGCCTGAAAAATTACTTGAGAGGCGATTCTCTCTTCTTTGTGGAACAACGATTCTCCAAAAAATTGCCATGGGTCTATGGGTTCCTTCACTATCACCTTATGATACCTTTCAATCGCTTTTTTTCGCCCTCCTGCTTTCTTTCATCATAAAAGTTTCCACTTTGCTTCTCTAGCCATAGACCAATAAATGATCTCTCCTTTCCACCTCCCACTGCTGATCCATTGCATTACTCTTGAGGTGTTTTAGTTCCTTCCGTGGAGTGTGCTCCTTCTTCAAATCTTTCCTAGCTATGGCTCTTTGTCATTGGTTTGTCCTTCTTGTCATGTTCTGGCCCCCACAAGTGTTTGGATAAGGTCATGTTACATCTCCTAGTTCTCAATGTTCTTCAAACTCTCATTCTGTCTAGTGTGTATGTCTTTGTTTTGGCCCCCATGTGGGTTTGACAGGGACCATGCATACAGTTTAGCTTCCGTGTCCTTCAGACATTGTCTGTCGTCTGATGTAGCCATTGTGATGCTCACTTCTGTATATCTTTGTCTCTATGCGTTTCAAATGTCTCAGCTCCTTTCTAAATCTCTGTCTCTTGTTTCTGCTGCGTGGATATTGCTTCCACCTTAGC